CTCAATGATAGATCTGGACCAAACTTGGCACTGATATTCCATATGCCCAAATGTGAACACTGGTGGAGTTTGAGGGAAATAGAATCCAGAGATTGCTGTGAACTCATACAATGATGTATCTGGAGCAAACTTGCCACTGATAATAATAATAATAATAATAATAATAATAATTGTGTATATATATGTATTTGACAAATATTATTATTATTATTATTATATATATTATTATTAAATATATTATTATTATTATTGATGTGCCCAAATGTGTCAAACCTTTTCAGAGCGGCACTGTGGGGCTTGTTCTCCCGGCGCGGCTAGGAGTGGAGTGGGAGGTGCCTTGTGGCCGCGGAGAGCAGAGTGGGCGGAGCAGAGGGTTCCCGCTATTGGCGGAGCGGCGCCAGGTGGGCGTGGCTAGGGAACGCCGGCATTCCCTGGCCACGCCCACCCGGCACTGCTCCGGCAATAGCGGCCGGGAACCCTCTGCTCCGGCCACTCTGGTCTCCAGAGGACCCACCTGGGAGGCTTCTCCCTCCCACACGAGCAGAGCGGCCGGAGCAGAGGGTTTCCGCGATTGGCGGAGCGGCGCAGGGTGGGTGTGGCCAAGCCAGGCCATGCCGTGTGGGCCGGAGAAATGCCCTCGGCGGGCCGCATACGGCCCATGGGCCGTAGTTTGGGGACCCCTGCACTAGGGTGTTGGTTTGTGTGAGTGTTTTTTTTATTTTTTTTCTTCTTTTTCTTGTTGCTGATGGTTTTGTGTGTTTTTGTGTTTTTTTTTATTATTTAGTGGGAACATTTGGAAACGTTTTTTTCATTGTAATTCTTTTGTGAAAATTTAATAAAAATTATTATAAAAAAATTAAAGCAGGTTCTTGGCTTTCCTTGACATATTCTGCCGTGTTTTTCTTCTTCAACTGCTTGTTTGACTTGTAAAGGTCCTCTGCCACCAGACCTTCTATGCAGATAGAGCCAGTCAACATCACTGCGAGAATGCAGTGAATTATGGTCATGAGTTTTCTTGTTTTTCTGTCCAAATTGTTCTGCCTGCATCCAGTTTATGATGCCAGCAGTGTATCTTATGACAGGTATGGCCCAGGAGATATTTGTTAAATATATTTTATTACTTGACATGTACACCCCCTCTTAAAAGTCCAAGAAAAAAAAATGTCGGCAACTGAATTGATAGGTGAATGAAGATAGATGAGGGTAATCTGATGTGGAAGTAAAGGGGAATTAAGCATTAAGGAAAAGAAGTACAAATTTTGAAAATGATATTAATTGCATAACTACATTGACTTATTACAGTACCCTCTGTTG